GGTAGACAGACATGCAGCAATCAGTCATCACCTGTCTAGAAAATGTGGTTGCAGAAAACAAACTCAGCAGTTATTGGAGAGACGATGGATTTCTAGATACGTACATAAGCAATGCGGAAACCTGTAATTTCTTATCAGTGATTTTGATACCAGTGTCACAGAAGTGGTTTTGATTTCATTCCAGGAAACTATTCTGGGAAGAGTTAATAGAACAGGCAGCAAATTGAACCACTGCAGCTCCTACTCAGTTTGTGTTGCCTCAGTGTTGGCAGGTCCCAGGGGCTATATTTACATGACCAAATCTCACAAAGTTACTTCTACTTGTTTCTTGTTTATATGAGTCCAAGTTTCTTCACTAATGGGCCCAATGAAACATCAAAGCCTTCCTAGATCCTTCAAACCTTACCTTGTCAGATTTATATTACTGCACATCGTATCAACGGCTTCCTGACACCAAGACATTAAGACAGAAATTTGCAAACTGTTAATACTATCCTTGAGGTTCATGCACTTTTTGACTTCAAAGCTGCATTCATAGGAACAGGCTAAACATGCCTATGAGCACGTTTTTGAATAGGTAGAACTGTATTTTCCAAATCTGTCTACCTAAAATGAGCCACCACAAAAAGGGACAATTTCCAAAATTTCAGTCTTGATTAACAAAGGAGTAATTCAGCAGTCAGGCTGATACGAACTAAACTGAGCTAAATCAAAAATACACTACTGGATTTTTCCAAAGTTACTACTGAATTCTCCAGTTTTATTTACTATTTTCAATATGATAAATACATTCTTAAACACATGTATGCAAGTATAAAGATGATGAAACACAATTTTCTTCTTTCTTTTAATCCACCAGATGTTATTACCATGAAAAGAAACACCAAGAACCAAGAGAAGTGCCTTGGAAACCAACAGGGAAATAGAACTTATTACCTTTATAACATATTCCATTGTGAACAAGAGATTTATTTTTGCAGATTGACAGACTACTTCCCATACTTCTTTTAACATGCATTTTGTATGTCGTCAACAGTTTGCAGATTGATATTCTTTACAGTAGCATAACTGCCAGTAGTACTTGATGCTCCATACTTAAAAACACACTTTACAACTGACTTGTAATGCTGCCAAAAATCATGTAAACACAAATATTTCACCAAGAAAATTTATGTTCTATTGCTTAATTCTACAATTTTAAGGAATGTTTGTTTGTATATCTAGAACTACTAAAGATCTGCTCCACAGTAGTTGTGGTCACTTGATATCCTTCATGCTTATGCAATTTTTTAAAAGTTTGGTTAAAACAGACTTGCATTGGGGTCACATTGTACCCTAGCAGTACAAATTGCATGACAAGCAGGAACGTAATTCCAAGTAGACGTATTTTTTGGGACAGTGGAGCATGGATTTTGTACACAAACACAAGCTGCCATTAATTTACTTTATATAATAAATGTATAAAACATTCCAGCAAACGTGCAATATGTAAATACTGTAAATAGCAAGCGTAATAAAGTGTTTGGTATTAAGTTGTCCTCAGTTTGCTCTCTGTTCACTGAATCCAGAATTTTATAAACAAGCTATCTTCCAGTAGCTATTATCGTTTATCTACACTTAAACCTCTTCCCAGTAAGAGTTTGGTAGAGTAAGAAAGAAAGGTACACCCACCTCAGAGAAGTCCAGTAATTTGGACACTCTTTATGGATTTGTGAGGACGGACAGATCTGTGTGTTCCAGTCCCACAAAATGTCCAGACCACAAGGCTGCTCCAAGTCTCTATAGCATTATAAATTTGAATCTTTCTTATGACAAACGGTTGTTTGGGGTTTTTTTCCCAAAAACTCTGCAGTCTATTCATGATACTGCAAGGCGATATAATCAGTGAATGTCCAATAAATCATTTTAGTATCATAAAACTTTTGAATCAGTGAATACTTACTCAAGAAGCCTTGATACACATTTCCCTTTCTTCCTTAAACCAGATATTAAATCCAGTTGTCATAATAAAATGGCTCAAACAGGAAGAAAATTTTTATGTGTGATCTGTAGTTGAACCTCAGGTACTTTTATCTTAATACTGGCATTTAGCTTCCATTTTATCCTCAATTCAAACCACAAAATGTAAAAACAAAACCAAACACACCCCTCCCCACCCTGAGAAATAGCTAGGAGCTGGGATTCTTGAAATTCACACTTAAGAGCCTTCAGCATCTTTAGAAGGAAAAAGAAAAAAGATGGCATAAGTACAAAATCCCATCCTAGAACATGGCTCTATTTAGTAAGGGAGAAGTACAGCTTTTGTATTTGCTTTCAGTGATCACTAAATGCTAAAGTTTCATTTCTCAATGGAAGTAATACATGTATACTGAAAAATTGGTAGTTAAAGGAATCTACTGCTACAAGATTCACTTAGCTGCTCATCTGCAGTGAACATGTGGGTGGAACTCTCTTCTTCTCTGTGGTTCCACTGACTGAAATCAGATCACAACATATTACTTAACATGGGAGTTTAAATTAGTATAAATCTTTCTTTTTGTAGTAGGACCCCTCAAATCTGGTTAAATAAAAACCTTCTAGAGAATTTCCTTGAAAAAGGAAAATAGTAATTTATTTAATGACTTAATAAATGAATATAAATAAGTTGATCCCATGGAAGTTTTCTCTAGATTTAGCAGAAGTCAGCATGCTTTGACAAAAGATACAACTATACTATAGCAGATTTTTTTTTTATTTAGTCTTACCATGGTGGGGGAGAGAGGGAAGGAGGAGTCAGTTCTGTATTTTTTCATTCAATGTTACTTTTTTCATGAGTGGTATTTTAAACCCGTAAGAGCTTAGTCATCTGTATGATACACGATTTGTGTATTAATCCTATGTTCACCGCTTCTCTTTGACCCCAAATAACAGTAGTGTGCAACTGTCCTTTCTGAAGGCAATTCCTGTTCTGTATTACTGTATTCTACAGATTCTTGTAAAATACCATGGTGCTCTCCTTCCCCTCCTCCAAAAGGATACCCACTAAGGGTAAAATCAATCCATTAATCACCTTTTTCCTCCTAGTAGAGCTGGTGAATTATTTAGCCAACAGATTCCTTGCTGAAAATATACCTCAAGGCTGAAACTTTTAAAATCTGAACTGAATTTAAGACAAATAGTTTTGACTTAGTATCACTTTACAGGAAGATTCCTAAGCCTAGTGAAAGTAAACAACCATACCCTTTTATCTCCTTTCTGTTATCCCAGCAGCTCAAAGATAAAGATTTAAGACTTTCAAATCTTAAACTTTAATATATAGGAAACTATAGGTTCAATTCCTACTCAGCCATGAATGGGAAAGCACAAACCATCATGTTCTCAATCTTCTGAGTTATTTTACTTTCACTGGAATATTTTAAATGGTCATTCTGGCAGAGAATAACATTAGATTATGCCTAAAAACTTCCACTTCCAAGGTTAGTGCATAAAACCACATTTAAGATGGTTTGTCCCTAACTGCCCATCATTTTCCCTCATTTATTTTGTCAATGCATTCATAAAAGAAATGGAGAAGAATTTTTTTTCCAGAGTCAGTGCTTGATCTGACCTAAAATATTATATATATTACTTCGTCCCTGAAGTGAAACAGCTATTAACTTGCAAATTCCTAGCTTGTTCTTTAAAAGTCAAAACTATTTGGTAATGCAATAATGCACAAAGATCCTAATTACTATATTTAAGTGTTCCATCTACCACTTGTTTTTTTTTAAGCAGGTTCTTAAGTTTTATGTCTGAAATTTTAGCACGAACCAGAAACCTCATTAACACAAACACAGCTGCTCTGAAGCAGGAGTCCCAGGAAATTTAATCGCCAGTGTGCAGGTTGCAGCACACCAAGAGTGACACCAGGATTCCTCTCTCCCCAGGAATAACAGGGTCCTCTATTGAAATGCATCTCTCTCCCAGAAGAGAGAGTGTGTGACAAATACAGAGGCTTCTCTACTAGTTTGGAAGGCAGACAGAGGCAAATACAAGGCTAAATAAATAAGAAAGAAAGTTTTACAGACCCAGTTTTACAGATAATGTGGTAACACTAGTTCATACCAATGTTGGTATTATTCAAAATAGGAAAATTATCATGGCATCAGTTACATTACTGATCTCTCCGCACATTTACATTTCTAAGGCAGAAATGAAAGGTGATGTTCAGACAAACAGGCATGGATTTTTACAAAGCATTCAATTTTTGACCAAGAGCAGAACTTTCTACTTACTGGCCTTCTGTTAATTTTGTCTTCTATTACAGATGTCCTATCTTCAGGTTGAACTATACTCTCAGAGAACACTTTTGACAGGCTATCCATTCTCCTGAGTAAATGTGAAAATATTGTCTGATGCCCACATAGGAACTGGGATTATAGCAAATTTCTCATTGATATTGCATGGATTTGAGTATTTTACTACTGTAAGATACAAAATGTACAATTCACATTTAGGCTTTTAAGCTGACCTGTTTTGTCCTCAAAGTAAATGCTATGTTACATGTACTTGTATCAGTATGCTAGGAATTGACCACAAGACCAAAGGAAGACTAGCCAGAGAAGTCCTATTAACATCAATCACTATTTCTGAACTGAGCTGATCTTAATTAGTATAAAAATCTACCAGAACAAAAATTATTTCTTCTTTGAATAACTGAGCATTTAAACTTATATAAAAACCCATTTTCACAGGACGCTGATGACACACATTGAGGTTTTGCTTGCTTAGGCTTTGAGAGTGCTAAGAGCAATGTCTGTCTGGAAGCAGGCAGTTCTTTTCGTCTAGCAAGCTCAATACAAAACAGCTTCAGTCCAAAGGCTGTCTAATGATACTAGGATGCCATACCTAAGTTAGCATACATGAACTATTATCTCACGGACATACACTGAAAGTTGATTTAAATTAACTCACTAAGGGCACAATGAGAAGACCTCAGTTTAGTTAGTACAGCACATAAAGAAGCAAGACGTTACTTTTGCAGTGCTTGTGAGAAAGCACTGGAAGAGTTTACAGATAAATTTATTCTGAATGATATACTTTATTATTACACTGATGTATGACAAAATGGTTGATCATCTAATCCAATTCAAACTTTTCTATATTTTTTAATTACATGACAGAAAAGCTAAAATATAAAATAAAACTAAAAAAGTTTTGAACCTACTGAGGCATAATTTTACAATTTAAATACATCAATCAAGTAAACCTTACGTATTTCAGGAGAAGCTAATTATTTTCTTTTAGAAATAAAATGATGAAACATTAATGAGACTTCTCCAAAAATGCTTTACAGCATCTAACACACTGCTCATAAACAGTTTCAAAGTCCTTTTCGTTCCCCTAGAAAAGAACAGAGGAAAAAGAATGTAAGAACAGCAATACTGGCTCAAACAAAAAATTTTTGCAAATTAGTTTCCCACTATCAGTAATGGCGAATAACTGACATTAGGGAAGAGTAAGAACAGTACAAATACTTGGCGATAGTGTTTGCATATTTCTCCCTAATTTGAACTACCTGCAGCTCAGGAATTTCCACAGCAAAACACTGTGACTTTGTGCTCAACAGTCCTGGATGAACTTTCCTTCACTACTTTTTCCATTCACTTTTTGAGCCCTTAGAAGCTTTTTCCTTTTTTCTTTATGTTCACAGTAACCTGTCATGTTGAGTTTCACAGTTTAATGAAGCACTGTGTGGGAAAAAAAACAATACCTCTTTTTGTTTTGAACCTGCTTCCCACTAATGCTATTTGATATTCTCTACTTCTTGAGTAATGAATAGCAATTCCTTATTCACCTTTTCCCATGATATCAAGATTTTACAGAACCCTACTGCATCTTCATCCACTTAATCTAATTGGTTGCTCTTGGCTGGTATTATTCAACTTATTTGACCATCTCTGTCCATGTCTTTGTCTCTATCTTTCCTGATTACATCTTCTTTGCAAGGAGGCTGACCAACCAGGGCTTCACCCAATATTGAAAATATAGGTGCACTGCCTTATTTAAATTTAAATACTTGTTATAAGCATAAAGACATGTTTTACTTTCCTATCCCAATAATTTATATTGTTTTGTTAGGTCATTTAAAAAAAAATGTTTACATTTGGCTTTGTATAACATCAGATTATATGTCACATGTTAACTGTGGGATCTGGAAAGATTAGATACTATACATACACAATTTTTAATCAAGCCACCCAAAGAATTTCTTACACATACATAGTATGGATCTTCAATGATAAGTTGTTTCTGTGGATCGTAAGTTCCAAGTAGTTCAATTTTGGCCTTGCAATCTTTAACTTGGTTGCTTTTCCTTTTCAGATCTCTGTAAAAGAGAAAATAAAATTTTCCCATGAATTTTTCTTCAGAACTTTTTTGGCATCAGCATGAGATGCTCATGACCATTTCTAGAGAACACAGGAAAATAATATGTGTCTGGACTCGGTCAATTCTGTGGACCCTCTATGCTGCTGCTTGTTTTCATTTGTTTCTTGTTGTGTGGGGTTTTTTTAATTGAGTATGGAGGACATACACATAAACTTAATTCAGAGCATGAACAAGCAGTCAGGCACTCAACCTAAGGCTTAACAGAACTTTGTAACAGTAAGTTCATCAACTTCTTCCTCAAATCAATCATTAGTACTTTCAGTATCCACCTTTAGCTTGTATTGAACACAAATAATGAAAATTATCTAGATATTTTTCCAGAAGTACGAGTAAGATTCTCCCATCTGTTCAAAATCCGTGTTTTAAATCAGTATGCTGCAAGTTCTCTCAATACTGTCTCTAACTCATGTGAAGTCCTACTACATTCAGTTAACAGAAAATGGTAAATCGGTGAGCAAGACCTGTCTTCCCTTTGACATACTGTAACATTTCATCAGTTGTCACATCCTCTTTCTTCTACATTGCCCCCCATTGATAAAACATACTGGTTTTGAGATGGTATCTTCCCCACCTACTTACAAATGGCCGTCCATTATCCCAAATGCAGTTAAAACGTACCTCTCATCACCTTCAGATTAAAAGCAGCTCAGTACTATGACTTTCACCATACTGAACAGCCAGAACACATTAAATTCTTTTAATATTAGACATCTCCATACCAAATCATTTTACTTACCCAACATTAAAAAAAGGCAAAACCTCTGTAAATACTTACAGTCATAAGCATAATCAGTTTTAAGAAATTCTAATTATTAATTCTAATTAAGAAATTAATTTCAGATAGTTTAGAAAGTCAAAATAGCAGTGAGACCACAATACTATTTTTCCTTGAAGAAAAATCAGGACTCCTCTATCAACCAAGAAGTTATTGCTTGAATTTACAGATTTTCAATAAATTCTCTAGTCTTTTATTAATTAAAAAAATGGCTAACCGTTTCCTTCAAGGCTTTTGGCACACCACTTAATGAACAGGAGAGGGCCAGGTGGCTCTGCTACTAAGGAGAAGGGATGTCCCAAATCTTCCTTTTCTGGTATGACAGGCATTCCATCAACAGCTGGAATCGGCTCGCCCTCCTAGTGCTACGAATAGGCGTTCCCAGGGAAAATGGCTGAATTGGGTGCAAGTTTAAGGTGAAACTTAAGTGTAGCAGTAGCAATACCCCTATTACAGTTGTGACGTTTCGCTCTACAGCTCATCATATAAATTGTTAATACAGAAATAAGTTTTCATTTAAGAATTAAAGTGAAAATAGAAGTAAGCCTAGTCACATCTTTGCCTGACACGCTGCAATCAAGCCAAGTGTTATATACCCTTCATTCACGCAGGCTGGATAAGAGAGGTCATTGAAAACATTCAAATCATTCAAAACATTCTAGAAAATTCAACAAAATGATACTTCTTTCAGTTAAGTGGTGCTGCTTCTAAAAATCTTTACATGCTACTAATAAGGTTTTATTTGGTTTTTGTTTTGTTGTTGGTTGTGATGTTTTGGGGTTGTTTTTTTTTTTAACTAACTTTACCAGTAATAGCCCTTACAAGCACTTTGACACTTGTAATTTATTAAAGCTCAGCCCCTTAACCCCAATCATCAATGTAATTAAGTAGAAATTTTGCTAATGATACCCAAATTTTCACACTAGGCAGCTACTTCACCAAATCTTTCTTAAGCATAAATTGTCTCAAAGATCTACTTAATTACAAAATGGCTAACTGTAACAAACAAGATTTCCCCCAGCTAACAACCTTACTTATTTCAGAGCTCATTCCGTTTCTATTAAAAAAGAAAAAAGAAAAAACCCCACACCATATTTAACCCCTTCCGAGTTTCCACAGCGTCTTTTAGATCCCATGCAATTAGAAAAACAGATCACTTCAATCAAAAGACAGTACGTCCTCATTCTTAACTATACAGGCATCAGCTGCACATCTATAGCACAACATATACTAAATTTCCATGTCCTTAATCCTTGAGTGGCATGGATCACACAAATAAACCATTGAATTCTAGCCCATTAAACATATTAGAAGTAAAGAATCCATCTATTTGGATATCATTCACACAGACATACAAAAAAAAACCCCCAAAACCCAAGACAAGCTAAGCAGTAAAACGTGACATCTGTTTTCAAAAGTGACTCATGAAACATCACTACAAGTAATCCATATGAATTCGTTCCATGTTTTTCATACGTTACCTTAGATTGCTCTCATCCATACATAGTATATAATCAAAGGTCTGGAAATCATCTTTAGTAACCTAGAATTAAAAATATGTGCTTTAGCCTACACACTGTGTTTGATTTATAAAAAGGGGGAAAGAAGTATTTTCAAATGTTGTAGTTCTGAATGTACCTTCATCAACTTTTACAGTAATTTAAGGCATTTTAAATATACCCTGCCATGATTATTTATCCATTTCTGCAAGTTTTCCACAAAAAACACCAAGTTCGCTATTTTACCAATTTTTTTTTTAAGCATCTCATGCATCAACTTAGAAACATCACTACAAGTGACATTTCTAATGCTTTCCAATTACTAAAACTAAAGCAGGTTTCCAGTCATAGAAACCATGCAATGTAGACAAATTACTTTCCTGATACGAAAACAAAAGTGTAGGTAACCTGGAATCAGTTGCAATACTTCCAATCTAGAAATTTGTCACTAAACAGAAAAAGATACCAAGTGAAATTCAAAGCTAAAGTATGATGGTATGAGTTACAATCTCTTAAAAACAAATGCATTCACAGTATTTTAGGCCATATATGTTCAAAAAATTTATGATATGAAAAAAATTTATGAAAAAATCTGGGATCTATCATACATCTTCCTACGGTCATATCATGTGTTCTTTTTCTTTCCTGTAGCTTACTGACTCCTAAACATGAGTATTAATTAAATTCAGAGATCCGAGTTCAGAGTTAGGTAGGCAAACATTGCAGATAAACCACTTAAGCACTAGTGTTATCTGTATCGGAGTAAGGATAGCTGTAGAGTTTTACCAGTATACTTACATAGTTTACATTTAAGCCTTAGTTTAGGGTAAAATCGTCCCAGACCCCACAATGCATAGTATGCTAGCATAAGATATCAGAACCAAGTGTCCATAATGAGGATGAATAAATGTAGTAAAATCTATAGTGAGTTCACATTACGACTGCATTTCATGCATAGTCCTATGTGTAGTATCGTAACCAAGACACTTGGAAAGTTTGTTCAGTATAGGTTATTCTGGCAGGCATCTCTGGGAAGGATGGGCTAGAGAAGAGAGTAAGCAAGTAAACAGACAAAAAGGCAAAACACATTATCCTAGAAGTCAGAGTTTTAACTTGTAAAAATTATTTACATAATCAAAAAAAGTTTTAGATGTAAACAGCAAACAGATACCGATTAAGCTCCCATAACAGGGAGTAAGAAAAGACCTATAGAAATTATCACCAGACTAAAGCCATAAATGAAACATTTCACACAAGGAGAATTGGAGGGGTGAGGTGGGGAGGAGGGGAGCATTTGAAAAGAAAGGGTTAATGGTGAAAGCTAATGCAGACTTGTTTATTTTCACTGTAAAAATATTTGCTGTATTCATGCAGTGCCTTTGACCTACGAAAATATTTTAGCAGTGGAAATAGCTCTGTTTTCCTGGCAACTCTAAGCAGTATCTCTACAAACTGCTTTTGGTTGCTCTACACAGCTAAACACTGGCTCTGCGAAAATATATGGGCATAGATTTCTTTGTAGTACAGACATATGTAAGAACAAAATAAAAAACAGTGAAAAGGAAAAACACACCTGCCACACTTCCCACACTCTTGGTATACTTGATAACTTGACAGTTATTATCCTATGAACCAGCACTAGCACAGACACAAATGCAGCCCTAAAACCAAGATTACTGGTTGGCTTGTGCTCTTAAGCCCTACAGTAATATCAGATACAAAAAGTTTAATTAAGCAAACTCCAGTGAACTGAAGATATTCCTCAAAACTATGAAAACTAGTATTTTGGGGGAAGAAATTGAGGACATAAAAATTTATGTACATTTTGAGAAGAGTAGTGGAGAGCTCAAGTAGTCAACATTGGATGGAACTATATAGATAACAATAACTTTACATTAAAAAATTGCATATAACCATTATTAAAGACCATCAATGGAGAAACACATCATCATTCCAATTTATTTGTTAAACATTTCCCTTTGTTTACAGAAGGGAAATCTCCTTTTCTCTGTCTAAAAACCAAAGAGATGCAGTAGTCCTCAAATTTATCAAGTTGTGAAACAGTGTTTAATACAACCTTCCTCTAATCTCAATTTCATATTTAAGGCAAATGCACAGTATGAGTCATACAGAAATCAATTTTGGCCTCAGCATGAATAAAAGTGAAACTGATTAATATTATCTGTTTTGTGCATGAAGACTAAGAGCTTAGAGAATTTCTAATGGGTGCATAAACATACAGCAACCTACCATCAACTAAAATGTTAAAAAACTTCATTTTATAAATATATACATTCATTTTTATACTTCACTTTTCACTTAAAATTCACTTAAATGATCACTGTATACAATGGTAGGATGTACCAATTTCACATTCTCTCTTACATAAATCATTCTTGTAGCATTTGTGTCAGTTCTGAATAAAAAAAGATACAATCCATGATTATCATAATTATGCACAAAATTGTGCATAAAGAAAGTGCCTTTCATCACTGGGTGGGTAACAGTTTTCCACAGAAGCAAAGAGGATAATTGCATGAGGTAGTCATCTTATGACAGTATTTTGAAGGCAACAGAAGACAAATCCTCCTATTTCTGCAACTTCTGTATTAAATCTTTCTTAATCTGTTCTATCCTTGAGTTTGTCTCTAAAAGTGAAACAAATACACTTCCATTTGTACTAACCTGACCACTCTGAAAAGTCCTATTCTACACTGTTGAGTCCCTCTCTTTCCAGGGGCTATATCAGGTCCACACAGCTTAGAGAATCAGCAGAGACCATTTGACAGAAGTTTGAAAAAAAATATTGGAGTTACATAGTTAATATCAGTGCAAAATGAACAGTTACCTGTAGTTCAGGGATTTGAAAATTTTCTTTATAAAAGAAACTGCTTGTACTACAATGTTTTAGACAAATTTTCATCCTGTTAGTCTTTCTTTTTATTGTCTCATTCTTGTTAATTTCCTTTCCCTGTATATGTGACATTTTAGACTCTTCTGCTTTAAAAATCTCTTCATTTGCCAAAATGTATAAGCAAATGTCTTCATTAAAGTGTTTTCATTACCTCTCTGCCAAAGGAGGATATATAGATTTGTTTCAAGGCAGAGCATCAACTGGTTTTGGATGCTTTGCTTTAGTTTAACTGCTCATAAACCACTCTAGTAATACCCAAGAACAGTTCTCAAGTTTCCAAGGCTTATCTTTTAAGAATACAAACATGTTACACTACTGTGACTGAAACACTGACTGATTGGTTTGAGTACCATTTAGCTTGTATAATGATAAATAATGCTGTTGTAAGCACTGATAAATAGTAAATCCAGAACGTGTAACAGGAAAAGATCACAGCAGATTTTTTCTAGCAATTATTCTAATAGTAAAACATTGAAAATCTGAAACAATGTTGTGCTCAATCCTGTTTGTCTTATTATATAACAGAGATTAGCATCAGGAAAGGTCAGCAGAGGGAAATTGACTAACTGAGGGAATTTATTTTAAAAAGTTAAAAAACTAAACATGTAGTCTTTGAAAGTGAATAAAGTAAGCATGACCTCAGTAAGGTCTAGTAAAATTCTGAAGGGAAGAGAAATGGAAGATAATAACAAGACTGCTTGATCTTTTTGTCAGTACAAGAACTAGTGGCATAAACTCAAGCAAAGTAAAGGTCAAGCCCTAAAGGAATATCTTATATCCAGAGAATAGTTAACTGAAGTAAGTTATGTGCATTTATTTGAGTGTCTGAATGACTTAAATAGATGCAGACACATTTATTTCCAATCTCTCTGGAACACAGCATGGAAATACACATTCTTCTGTTAATGAAAACTGAGGTGGGTTTTGGTAAAACTTAAGAGGATTTCACTAAGTGACAAACACGTCTTTGACTTAAGAATGCTTCCAGGGTACGTTTTTCTCTGAAGTTACCACCAACTGTGCTACTAATCTTGGGTTTTAGCATTCTAAATTTTTTTAAAAGATCTTCATGCAAGAGCAGAAGCTTTTTGTGATAGGTGAACAGGTATTCTACTTCTTTTTGGACCTACTAAATAAAAATCCAATTCCTTGCTGAAAGAAGCATCACAGATTACTACAGTAAGTCCATTTTTAAAAAGTACTAAAAAAAAAGTTTCAGAAAAATGCCCAAATTACTAAACATTTAAAGGCAGGATTTTTCTATAATGCAGAAACTGCTCTAATGCTTCCTAGTTATACTTCCAATGAAGCTTAATAACAACAAACTCACTAATCTCAACTAGAAGAGTCAGGCCACCCGGGAGTCCTTTGAAAAACTGCACATAGTATTTATTACTTGATGCTTAACCATGCATTGATCAAATGACTTCTGTGATTGTAATGGTAAGGGCTAAACAAAGCATGGGTATGAATAAAAAAGAAAATATACTCTCTTCTACCTGCCGTGCTTTATGTGCTGTCTCAATGCCATGATTTCTTAGACAGCTTAAAGCCCTTGCATCTGGGGAGCGCCCCACGTTCCAGTCTGAAACAGCAGCACTGTCTGTCATCCACTGTAACAACAAAACAAATACATGTGCGTATTTAAAGAAAATGAAAGTACAGTACCTGCCTGGCAATATGATTCATGGTAATGCCATGCTTCTTCATGCAAGTCTGTCCTCGATAGTCAGGAGGGCTTCCTATTTCATAGGTAGATGTTGCTGCACTGTCTATCCTCCACTACAGAAAAACAAATTTATATTTTTATGTTTCCTTTCTCACTGCTTATATTTCTACTAATTGGCTACGAGACAGTTATTTCTTAGGCAGGACAGAAATAAATAGCTTACCTTATTTTCAACTTTTTCATCAGTTACAAGTTTTCTAAAAACTGCTTCAGCTATTGGAGACCGACAAATGTTTCCTACAGAAACAGGAGATTAAAGTGAAATTTGAGACGATTAAAAACAAAAAATCAGTAACTGTGTGGATTTGTCAGCACAGATTAGATAAAAGATTTTTATTTACTTAGGTAGAATGTGGCTTGCTTATGTTATTAAAACCCAAGAGATTCTGCAAGGGTGGAAACCCAGAGTCCTGCACCTGGGTGGGGGCAATCTCCAGTATCAATGCAGGCTGGGGGATGAAGGGATTGAGAGCAGCTCTGAGGAGAGGGACTTGGGGATACCGGTGGGTGAAAAATTGGATATGAGCTGGCAATGTGTGCTTGCAGCCCAGAAAGCCAACCGTATCCTGGGCTGCATCAAAAGAAGCGTGGCCAGCAGGTCAAGGGAGGCGATTCTGCCTCCCTACTCTGCTCTGGTGAGACTCCACCTGGAGTACTGCGTCCAGCTCTGGAACCCTCAGCATATGAGGGACATGGACCTGTTGGAGCGGATCCAGAGGAGGGCCACAAAAATGATCAGAGAGTTGGAACATCTCTGAGTGAGAATTGGGGTTGTGCAGCCTGGAAAAGAGAAGGACTGGGGAGATCTTACTATGGCCTTTCAATATATAAAGGGGGCTGTAGTGACAGGGCAAGAGTCAACAGTTTTAAACTGAAAGAGAGTAGATTTCTATTGGACATAAGGAAGAAATTTTTTTTACAGTGAGGATGGTGACACACTGGACCAGGTTGCCCAGAGAAGTTGTGGATGCCCCATCATCGGAAGGGTTCAAAACCAGCCTGGATGGGGCTTTGAGCAACCTGATGTAGTGGAAGATGTCCCTGCCCATGGCAGGGGGGTTGGACTAGATGATCTTTGAAGGTCCCTTCCCACCTAAACCATTCTATGATTCTATACTACACATCAGTCTCTTGAAATACGTATTATTATATGAAAAATACAACTTATTAAAATAAATAGGAGTATTGTGTAAGCACATTGCTCTTTTCTTCTCCTCCACAAAGAATCCGTGATAACAGAAGACCAGGCAAAATTACAGAATTTACTGGCAACAAATCATCTTTATCTTCAAATCTTCCTACACACTGGCAAATTTCAACTAATTCTTCACTGGAGAATCATGTATATTTGCCCAAAGTATTTACATTACTACCTACCTGTTAACAAAAACTTTTGAACAATTCCAAAACACAGCCACTACCACTGTGGAACCAACGTACTGAAATGGCTGAACAACCTGTAGTAGAAATGCTCCTGACCACTGAAGTGAAGTCACTGCAGGTCAAACTGAACCCTGGTCAAGAGCAGTTTCCAGATACGGATTCCAAAACCCCCAAAAGAAATCAATTACACAAGCGCTAAAAACACCTCAGGAAAACAAATTTTCCAAATTTTTTTTGGTCCAAAATTTGGAGGATTAATGTAACTGATGGCAAAGCTGAAGTGCTGTCAATCAGCCAACAAACAGTTAAGGTACTTAATTATATAAATACATAATCAGTCTTCCCTTCCAATGGCTTCCAATTGCGCTAGCCACTTGATCTGATCTTATTTTCAATAAGAATCTACTTCAACAATTAAATACTGCCCCGTTAAAAACTAGAAATAATGGATCTACAACATTTTTGCTCCACTGCTGAAGCTGTAATTAAGTTAACCATCTAAGGTAGACCTCTCAAACATGCATGCAAAAATACATACTTTGAAAAAGAATGAAATGTCTTAACAACAATAAAAAGTCTATTCAACTATTACTTGAATTCTTTCTACCTTTTCATCCTTCAGAAGTTCTGAGTAACTAGATATTCATAATATTTGATATGTCACCCAGATGCACAATAAATCATACAAACAATTTGTCACTTTCCATCAAAGAGAATGTATGATTTTGCTCATCCCTGACTTTTGAGCAGATAAGTATAAAACATCACAAATGGCAACACTCATTTCTATACCTTTAAATAAATCACTCTTCTACTACTGGTTAAATTCCTTCTAAATTTCAAACAGTAAAAAAATGAAATGCCCATGAACAAAGCTAAACTTCCAGCAGCAAAAATAAATTTTCATATCAGGCACTTAGCCTCATTTTCATGCCTGTATTTTCAAAGTATCAAAAATATCAAGGTAGATACTTCACTGCTAAAGAGAAAGAAGCCACTATGATCTGGGCATTTAATAACTTGCTGTCAATCATGCCAACTATAAAAAAAAACTAAGTGGGAAGTAAACCACTGAAGTAATACAAATTTGTTGTCAAAGATTTAGAGAACATCAAATCACTAAATGGGCAAAAGGAACTGGCTAACCATTGAAAAACTGATCTTGCTGAAACATTAAGTGAATTTTGATGGCAGTAGATCTTCCAGGAGAAAGCATACTATTTCCTTTGTTTGAACTAGTTTTTTCCAAGCAGAGAAACTAAATCGGTCTTGGAAGAAAAATAAAGAAGGAAAAAGTTGGGTTTATTTATAAAGTAAGTGAGAAAACAGGTTAGTACTTATTAATTATAACAATGTTAAAGAATATGGTAATAAATTAAAAAATAAATCTCACTTCTTTAATTGAGTAAGCGAGTTCAGCATTAAACAATATAATTTTAATAGGAAACAGAGGGAACACGGTAACAGACAACAGAAAAGAACCTTCATAATCAATGAGCCCAATCCTTTGATATTGCAGGTATATACAGCATCGCTCCTCTTACAAACACATCAAGCGCTCTTTTAAAAAGCATCATTTATCTTAAAAGGCTATTCCAGATACTCTTTTTCTTGTGGTAGCCAAAAACCTTCCAATTCCTACTTAATATTTATTCTTGGAATTCTATGCTCATCTGATCTTGGTTAACATCACTGTCTACCTTAAAAACCTTTCTTTCCTTCAACAGATGCAGAATCCTTGTCAAGCATAGCTGTGCTAAACTAAACAAACCAAGCTCTCCGCCTCCTCGTAAAAATACCTGACCCTTGTCTAATCACTAATCACAGAGTTAAGCCAACTCTGCACTTGTTCTAATTTGAATTTGTTTTTCTTGAATACTGAGAAATAGAACCACAGACTACACTGCAGGAGAAGTTTCTACCAATTTGTTTCATACAAGAAAAAAAAAGTCTGAAATACTTACATAGGTCTTTTGAAAATAACCTGAGATAACTTCTACAACACATTTGACTCCTTCACAAGTATCAAATTTGCGATCCTAGTCCTCTACTTCTAATTTGTTCATTCCCTCTCTTTCTATGTTGTTTCAAACAGGTGACCTTTAAGTCTTCTTTCTAAACTATTACATTCTGTTTCCATTACACCAGCTGTTGAGGCCATCCACTTCTTCCTGTACAATTTTTTTCCTCTGTATGAATGATCCCATGCAACTGTGCATGAACAGTAAGTTTCATTCTTAAAATTTCAGTAATAAGCAAAGATTAATACTATTGGTCCTACTAATTCATTAACTAACTCCCAGAATTTCAAAATGGGACTTTTGAAATAAATCCTTTATGGCTTTTTCATTTGTTTAACCTTCTGCTTTACCTGGATTGAATTACTTTTTCCCAATTTTCACTCTTCTGTAACCTGCTCACTACTTGAAATAAATGCCGTAAATATCATCTTTGATGATATCAAATATCATCATGAATGGCACCATGATGACTGACTGATTAAATATATTAACTACCACTTCTAGCAATGACTAGAAACTGCAGTTACATTCTTTTTGAAACAAACACATAACCTCGTTTGTGACTTAAAAATTAATGTCTTCCATAATGACACATTCCAGATATTACTGGAGGTATTAACATTATTATGGAACTGCAATCACCATTCAAATCTATTATTGGAGGCTATAGACACAATCCCAGAACTGTCTTAATAGGAGCTCTTTTCTCCGCATACTCTACAATATTATTTTCATCCTAACCAACTCGGTTTACCCATGCTACTCCTTGCGACTGTTATCGTTCATCTCATCATTAATGTAAAGCCCTACCTTATGGCACTGACATATGCAAACTTCAATCCTCGTTTTCCAGTCATCGTCCCTTTCCCACTATAATTTCTATCAATTTCATATCCCCCATCTGTCTTTCCAGGCTTTGTTGAGGTTCCTCACAGATGCACCTATTTCCTAAGTTATGGATTGACAGTCATAATTGGGGAATGAAGGGGGAAATCTCACAAAAAGATTCATAGGGAGATTACCTTCCTCCTTGGACTTGAGCCATATCTTCCTTAGATGTTATCTACACCTTATCTTTGCTACCTATCCTCCTCTGGTGTTCCTTTCTCCTTTGTTCTATTTCTGATTGATCTGATCATGCTCTTTTTACGTAGAAGATACAGTATTAAAGTTCCCTGAATCTCCATCTTCCCCCTTCATTTTTTAAATTTCAAGCTCTTTAAGTTGTAGTAACATTTTCAGTCAGAGAAAACCAGTACCCAAGGTACCTAGACAGAGTCTGCCCATTGAAATAAATCCTACAAACATCTCCAAATATGATGATTCAAGGATAAGAGACTTAAATTTCAATCACAGAATCAGTACTGGAACCATTTGCTGATCACTCTTAGTCTCATGCTTTCTCACTAATTTTCTAGGGACAAGGACTCCACTAACGGTTCTCCAAGCCAATGCTTAATTTTTTGAGTTCTTACTCCAGTCTCTGCATTAATCTTTTACCCATTCCCATACAGAAATGGAAGCATTGCTTCTACTGACAGGAAAGACAACTTGAATCCATTTCATGCTCAGGTCCATAGCTGCTCTCTAGGTACTGTTGATCTAATCATCTATTCTCTCAATCATTTTTGTATCTTCATTGTTCCTTATTCAGCTCTCTAACTCTTTGAGACCTTCCCCAAATGCAAAACAGATGCTTTTCTCTTCCTCCTTTGGTTTTCTGTTTGTTGTTTGTAACAGAAGTTTTATTAGCTTTCATCCTCTTACATTTAAAAACCTGCTTTTAACTCTACTTATCTTTCCATGCATGGTGAGTTCATCTGAGTGACTGTAATACTGCTT